CCCTAACATATTGGTTCCAAAATATTTGGGATCTTGTGCCAAGTGTTGTCTTAAATATTTAGCATGTTATTTTCTTTAAGCTCGAATATTTTAAGCCCAGCTGAATGATCTTGTGAAACTGTGCAGCATTACTGTTGTTTCAAAGCTGAGCCTTTTATTCTTTGCCAGATTTCAGTTTACAGCTGCTCTTTCCCTGACAAGATTTATTCATTCTCAACAGATATCTGAAATGCAAATCCTGTTTCCGTCTTAATAGCAAGGACATGAATTGTAGCACTATATTTGGAAAATGAGTAAGGTGACATATTAAGGCAATCATTTTAATATATTCTTCTGTTATACTCTAAATGAAATTTCAAAATGTATTTATTTAGCAATTGAGGTGACGTGAAAGAGGAGAAGAGAAATTTAAGAAGTTTCAAATACATTTTCTGAAGTTACACAGATTGAAAGTTCCAGGTGGATATTGTGGCACAGCTGCCACTTGGGACGCCCACATCCCATACTGGACTGCCTGGGATGAAGTCCTGCTTCTTTCTACTGCCTCCAGTCCAGCTTCCTGCGAATGTACATCCCGGGAAGCAGATGATAATGGCTTGAGTACTGAGTCCTTGCCATCCACGTAGGAGAACTGAATGGAATTCCTGGCTCCTGGCTTAGGCCTGACCCAACCCCTGCTGATGCGAATATTTGAGGAGTGATCTAGCAGGTGGAAGATCCTCTCTCTCTCCCTTTCTCTCTCTCTTTCTCTGTCTCTCTGCCTTTCAAATAAATGTAATTCAAATAAATGAAATAAATATACTTCTGAAGCAATGAGAAATCTGTTTTCTATCCTAAAACTTTATTCACAATATGAAGGTATTTGTGAAATATGATTTCAAACACTTATTATTAACTTCATGTTATTGTATTCATGCATATTATTCTAAAATGATGGTCTTAAGATTAATTATATATAATTTAAGCATAAAAATAACATGAAATCTCAGCATATATTTTTGAGGTTTTCTTTACAGATATCATTTATTATTTTGGTTTTCATTTTTTATTTTTAAGCATGAAGGGGAGCTACATCATGTTCTTGGTGATATGCTTTTTTTTAAAAAAAAAGATTTATTTATTTATTTAAAAGTCAAAGTTTCAGAGAGAGAAACAGGAGAGCCTGAGAGAGAGAAAGGTGGGGGAGGATAGAGAGAGATACTCCATCCACTGGTTTACTCCTGAAATGGCCACAAACAGCAAGAGCTGGGCCAGTCCAAAGCCAGGAGGAGCCAGGAGCTTCTTCTGGGTCTCTCACGTGGGTGCAGGGGCCCAAGCACTTGGGCCTTCCTGTGCTGCTTTCCCAGGTCCATTAGTGGGGAAATGGATCAGCAGTGGAGTAACCAGGAGTCGAAGGGGTACCCACATGGGATGCTGGCACTGCAGAATGCAGCTTAACCCACTGTGCCCCAGGGCCAGACCCTTAGTGATGTTTTCAAAATGTTTGTCTTGTACTTTGAGTTTTCTTATCTATAAAATGAGATAGTAAGAGCACTTTCCTCATAGGATTGTTATGAATAATAAATAGAATAATAATTATAATCCCTAAGAATGGTTTATGGATTGTGGCAAATACTATGTATTTATTAAATACATAAAAATGCCATCCTAAGTGATCCCTGTTAGGAATTTGGAAAACATTATGCTGAGTGAAATAAGCCAATCCCAAAGGGAAAATTCCACATGTTCTCCCTGATAGGTGACAACTAACTGAGCACCAAAAAGGAAACCTGTTAAAGTGAAATGAACACTATAAGAAATGGTGACTTGATGAGCCCTCACCCTGACTGTTGATGAACAACTTAATATGTTATCCCTCTTAGTATTTTTTTTGTTTGTTCTACTTAATACTTTTGGTTGAATACTGTAATCAATACACAATTATTCTTAAGTGCTGAAACTTAGCTGAAAAGTGATCACTGTTAAATATAAGAGTGGGAATAAGAGAGGGAAGAGATGTGCAATTCGGGACATGCTCAAGCTGACTTACCTCAAACGGTAGAGTTAGAAACATACCAGGGGATTCCAATTCAATCCCATCAAGGTGGCATGTACCAATGCCATCTCACTAGTCCCAGTGATCAATTTCTGTTCACAATTGATCATAATGATAGGACTAAGAACCAAAGGGATCACAGAAACAAGACTAGTGTCTGCAAATACTAGCTGATAGAATCAAAAAGGGAGAGAATGATCCAACATGGGAAGTGAGATACACAGCAGACCCATAGAATGGCAGATGTCCTAAACAGCACTCTGGCCTCAGAATCAGCCCTTAAGGCATGCGGATCCGGCTGAAAAGCCCATGAGAGTATTTCAGGCATGGAAAGCCAAGACACTCTGGGGGGAAAAAAAAAAAGCTAAATGAAAGATCTCCATGAGTGATATCCCAGTGGAAAGAACGGGTCATCAAAGAAGGAGGAGGTACCTTTCTCTGAAGGGAGGAGAGAACTTCCACTTTGACCATGGCCTTATCTAAATATGATCAGAGTCGGTGAACTCAGGGGGCTTCCATAGCCTTGGCAGCTCATGACAAGAGCCTAGGGGGATTACTGATGCCATAAACAAGAGTGTCAATTTGTTAAGTCAACAACAGGAGTCACTGTGCACTTACTCCTCATGTAGGATCTCTGTCCTTAATGTGCTGTACATTGAGATTTAATGCTATAACTAGTACTCAAACAGTATTTTTCACTTTATGTTTCTATGGGGGTGCAAACTGTTGAAATCTTTACTTAATGTATGCTAAACTGATCTTCTGTACATAAAGAGAATCGAAAATGAATCTTGATGTGAATGGAAGGGGAGAGGGAGTGGGAAAGGGGAGGGTTGCGGGTGGGAGAGACGTTATGGGGGGGAAGCCATTGTAATCCAACAGCTGTGCTTTGGGAATTTATATTCATTAAATAAAAGTTAAAAAAAAAGTTACACCATGAAAAAAAAATGCCATCCTCTTGAAGAAAAGATTGTTCAAAGGCTGTCCTAAACCTGTTCTTTGCTGAGGCAATATTTCCATTACTATTTTATGTCCTCATTTCTTTAATTTAATGGTATTAATTAATCACCATTTTGTATTTTGCACAGAAATTTATAAAATTTATTTATGCTTCTGAATGTGGTTTTCAATGACTAATTTTAAACGCCTGCCTATAGTTAGAGCCACTAGATGAATATTCAATGACAGTAACCATTTCAAAACTCGCTGCTGCATTTCAACTGAAAATAATCCTCCCACCTTCCCACGAGAGCTTCCTGTATCATCACCTCCTGTCAAGTTATTTTCTTTCTGTAATTCTGACATTTCTGATCCTTCCCAATCAAAAATGCCCAGTAAAGCTTAATGACTGCAATCTGGCATTTCATGGGAGGTATATGGTTAATTTTAAGGTGATAACTTGTGCTTTACTGTAAGTTACCAGCCAACTGGCACCACAGGCGGGATGGAGCCCTGGCACATAAACTATCCGTGCAGACTAGGCTGGTGGTAATTCTCTGGCTCCCCAGAGAAGCTCTTCTGTGCGCAGAAGGAGGGCTTAGATGCAGGAATTATCAGTTAAGTAGGAAACAATGCTCAATCATTTTTAAGGCATCTGTACTCAGCTTTGTGAAGAGTCCATTGGCTAGAAGTGGACCTTAATGGTTCTTGTTCTCATTCTAGGAATAACTTATCACTGGCACATCTCATCCATACTAATCCCATAACAGATCTGAGATCTTAAAGCACTGGGAGATGTTTGTTGTTCTAAGCTGGAATTGTCAATAGCCATCTTAAATTCAGTTTGTATTTGTGTTTATGGCACTGTTTCTACATTATTTGAGGAAGACCTAAAGTTTCACTTAAGAGTTTAGAAAGGACATGGGGATAAATGTTTTAGGATAGGATAGAGTGAAGGGATATTTCACAATGAGTAAGTTTAGAAATCTCACAAAATACAAAAAAAAATGTAGATTAATTCATAAATCTAGTGCAGTGGTCACACATAAACACTGCAGGCTGATAAAGTGGACTTACTTCCTGCTTGAAATCTTTCATTTTCTTTTGATGTTCTCCTAGTGAAGCAAAATCTCACACAATTAAGAATAACTACAGCCCTTTTCTCTCCTAACCAACAGTTGCTCAGTTTTTTTGTATTTATTTATTTAAAGATTTATTTATTTATTTGAAAGGCAGAGTTACAGAGAGGCTCAGAGAGAGAGAGAGAGAGAGAGAGAACTCTGCCATCCAATGGTTAATTCCCCAGTTGGCTGCAACGGGCAGAGCTGTGCCAATCCGAAGCCAGGAGCCAGGAGCTTCTTCTGGGTCTCCTATGTGGGTGCAGGGGCCCAAGCACATGGCCCATGTTCTACTGCTTTCCCAGGCCATAGCAGAGAGCTGAATTGGAAGTGGACCAGCTGGGATTTGAACCAGCACCCATATGGGACACTGCAGGTGGCAAGTCTATCTGCTATGCCATAGCACCAGCCCCTCTTGTATTTAGTTATAAATGGAGGATTGTACTGTGTGTAGACATGGTCATGTACAAGGCTGGAGAAGGCATCTGAGTGACAGGCAGATGGTCAGATTGGAAAGAGTAACACACACACACTTGTGCACACATCCTGACACATGCAGAGAGTTTTGCAGTGAGATGCACACACACTGAGGAGACAGAGTGTCTAGGAACAGAGACTTGTAGGTATACTGGTTGGACCAGTTCAGACACAGATGGACACCCACACAAATACAAATTTGAGAAGAGGGGCTCTGTTAGAAGAGAGAAAAAGACTCTGTGGGGGTGAGAGGAGAAAATCAGAGGACAGAGAGCAAGAGAGTGGTTGAGAGAAGGAGAGTAGAGGAATATAAATATCATGCATGGAGTGCACCGGAGTCCGGGTCCCCTCAGTGATGTGGAGGTGAAACAGCATCGGGGCAGTGGGGCTGGTGAAAGAAAGCACACTGACTTGATTGCTCTCCTTTTTAGTATTCAAGAAATGCTGACAGGCCAGAGGCTTTGCCACTCTGAATCTCACAATGATAGCGTCCTGGCAGCGCTGAATCAGCAAAGAAGCGACGGCATCCTCTGCGACGTCACCCTGATTGCAGAGGAACAGAAATTCCATGCTCACAAGGCAGTCCTAGCAGCATGCAGTGACTATTTCCGGGTAAGTTAAGGTGGTTTGTTTTATCTGCTAAGATATCACTACACAGAGCATGGCAGTGTTTCCTGAATTGTCACTCAGCTGGTTCCTCAGTAGATCTGGAACTGAAATCATGATCCTATTAGATGGTGGTCCTCAGAGTTTGAATGTTGGGGACCTGTGTTCTTTCTTCAGAAGAATGAGATCTGGGGCCTTGTTGGGATCCTTCCTGGGCTGGACCCCTGGATGTCTGAGCAGACTTTTGTTTGCATCTGAGCCAAGGGAGTTGGCGCTTTACTACTGTGAGAAAGTATAGCACTGTAGTGTTCCATATGGGGATGTGTTTTTGAATTCAGAATAAGAAGAACAATCAACAAAACAGTTTGTTAAAATATAGGAAGTCCTCAAATGTGTTTAGTGTTTCATAATTTTTTTAAAAAAATGTCTATCTATGTTCTTAATGTTTTATAATTATTTGGTGCTGTGACAGAGGTGCAGTTGGCCTAATGGACTTTTCTGGTTGACAAGTGTGGTTGAAGAAGACCTGTTGTCTTGTTTAGTAGAACTGTGGAGTTTGCTCTCCAGCAGCTAAGATGTGGTGATGTGATTGTTGTTTTTTGGAAGATGGAAGTGTACAGTGTAGTTACAGTTGATCATATACCAATTACTTAGCATTTTCTGTGGTTCAGATGGTAGACAAAGAACTTCATATGCATAAATCATATAATCCTCACAACAATCTGCTGTACAAATGCATATGCATACTATTAAAATAATCCTTGAGTATATAAGGAAACTGAATCTCAGAGGTTAAGTAATAAGCTGTACAGTTCCAACATGGCAAATCTAGAATGCAAATTTATATCAACTCTCGTGAGCTGTTCTAACTCTTCCTATGGGAAGAACAAAAACCAGATTATTAACCAGAACTTTAGAAGTATTAATTTCTGAATATCTGCTATTTTAATTATTATGTAATTTTCTCATCTATGTTATTTCAATTAATCAGGGACCAGGTAATACTTTGGAAATGTAACAATCTGTAACTCTGTATAAGTGGTAATGTACATGAACCAGCTAAGATCAATGGGCATTTGGTTGGCTTGGATATTTCCAATAATAATTTTGTTTTTGATGTTTAAGAGAAAATATCAACTGCACTCAGGTGCCAACCAGCAGTCACAGAGAATTTTCAAAAATGCCAAACCATAAAAGGAAACTTTTAAAAAAAGTCATTTTAAATATGATGAGACTGAGTAATGTAGAGGATAAAGAGGTAATTGCTTGAATGTTTCTAAAATGAAAAATAGAGATTTGATCTAATTCTTAATTCTAAAAGAAGGGGTTTTATTCTACAGTAGATCTTAGAGTGACCTTTTAGTTCCATTAATGTAATGATACATTTTATACACCTTCACATTGTCAAGTATTAATCTTCCAGAAAGATGACATTAGTCAGAGGGCCTCTGAAACAGCAAAATACTTTAGACTACATGTACATCATGTGAGTTTTGTCTTCTTGTAGGCCATGGTGTAACCCTGTTGATGTTTAGCTTCTTTTTACATAAGTCTTGGTCTGTTGAGCTTTGAAATCATTTATAGGAAATGTGAGATAGAGGGTGTGAACAAGTGCATGCACACAGGCGCAAGACCATCTCTCTCCTTTGTTAGCCTTTGCCAATGTTTTCTGCTTCACTTGGCTTTTCGTCTGTTCTGCCACTGTGCTTCTTATACTCTGATAGGGTATAGAGAGTGCCTCCTTTATGATACCCATATTATGCAGGTTGTGAAGACAGCTTTATTACTCATGTTTTGCAAATGTCGTATATTTAAGTAACTTGCCAAAGGACTCCCAGGCGTTATCTAGAAGGGTTGATTTTCTCCATATTTGTCCACTGCTAGAGTCATACACAGTTCCTTCCACCTCACAACATGCTTGTAAAGTGAACATTAAGTGGCTTGCACACTGGTCATTCAGAAAGAGAAATCAAAACAAAGTGGGATTAGTTGCACTGAATTCCTCTTTGCACTGTGCAGAGTACCTAGACATACTCTGAGCTGTACAGAACTTGTGTGTAGATGTCATACTGGAAGTAATTTTTGCTTGTACCCAGTGTCTTTTGTTAGCTTTTGCTATGAAACAGACTTCCTCAAAATTTAGGATCTGAGTTGTTTTTCTGGTCTGCTAGCCCAGCTGATCTATGCTGGATTTGCTGTTGCATCAGTGATTAACTGGAGGCTTGGTTGGAGGCTGTATGATCTAAGTTGACCTTGTTTACGTGTTTAGTGATTGGTGGGCTGCTGGCTGCTGTGATAGGGAAAACTAGGCCATGTATTTCTCACACACAGGCTAACCTGGGCTTTTTCACATGGTGACTAAATTCTAAATAGAGATAGGTGGTAAGCTTTAATGCACAGGTGCCTTTTTTTTTTTTTTGGACAGGCAGAGTGGACAATGAGAGAGAGAGAGCGACAGAGAGAAAGGTCTTCCTTTTACCATTGGTTCACCCTCCAATGGCCGCTGTGGCCGGAGCACCGCGCTGATCCGAAACCAGGAGCCAGGTGCTTCTCTTGGTCTCCCATGCAGGTGCAGGGCCCAAGGACTTGGGCCATCCTCCTCTGCACTCCCAGGCCCCAGCAGAGAGCTGGACTGGAAGAGGGGCAACTGGGACAGAATCCGGTGCCCCCACCGGGACTAGAACCCAGTGTGCCGGTGCCGCAAGGTGGAGGATTAGCCTAGTGAGCCGCGGTGCCGGCCACACAGATGCCTTTCAAGCCTTTGTTTGTATCCTGCTTATTAATGTCTCATTGGCCAAGCAAGTCACAAAGTCAAGCCCTGAATTGATATAAAAGGTCCTGGAAGGGCATAGATGCAGGAAGAGGAAGAATTTATTGCCATGTTTGCAATCTATAGCTGTCAACAACTATCAAGAATCTGAGGTTTTACCCTATTTGCAAGCTACCTAGTTAGCCTAGCATGATTTCATGAATGCCAGTAGAAGACATGAGACTCCTAAGTCAGAAACAAAGGACATTTTATTACCCATGGCAGCAGCAGCATCTGTTTCCTGGATCCCAATTCACTCAGGATGACATGAAGAGGGCCAGATTACATTATTATACAAAAGGGTGGGTTGTATTACAGGAGAGGATCAAGTCTATCCTTTGCTCTGGAGAGAGACATTTTATACTGACAGCAAGTATATCTACCCTTTATCATATGAACATGTATTGTCTTTAGAGTTGTAAGAAAACCTGCCCCTTGCTCTGGAGTGAGATACCACACTGTCTTTCAAGGTTATTTGCTATGGAAACATCCTTGAGAATAGAGTTCAGAATAAGGAACAGTTGTCTCACTAACAGTCTATATAGAAATGCATGAGACCCATGAAGAATTGTCTCCCAACAGCCACTTGACTTAAACTTTTTTGTCTTTTCCTTGTCTCTTAAGCTCTACTTCACTGAAGCACCTGGAAATAGTATTCTGTCCTAATAATTGCCATTTCTCCGAATACTTAAAATATCACCTTATTCTTTGTAAGTGCTAAATATAAATATTGAGTGAATGGAGAAATGTTTTCTGATTGTCATAGAACTCCATGTATATTTCAATTGTGAAAATTCTGAATATAAAAATATTCAAGTGATTTGTGGGGTTTTTCTTCTAGGGTGATCTGTTCATGTTAATTAAGTAGTTTGATGTAAACTAGATTTCTGTATTCTATACTCTGATACCTGGCGGAATATTTTGATGCTAAAATAATTGTTGTTTTGATTCAGGAAAGATGGGGATTCAAGGGTGAGATGGACCAAACTTTGGTGTAAACTCTTCCTTTATAATGATCTCAGAGTGAACATCAGCTTCTCTTGCTTAAAATATGAATAATGAATGGTTGAGCAAAAAGTACTATGACTTCCTGTGCTCATCATTTTACAATAAAGCTGTAAAACATATTCTTCAGCCAAGTAATAATGACTTTCTTAAAAAGGTTAAAAAATAGGCTTAATTTCAGCAGTGTGGGCACAGCATGGCATTAGTCCAATGTTATAAATGAGTCAGCCCAGGGACTTCCTTTGTAACAGTGTACAGTAGTGGTGGAAGGAAGAAAAGGATGAACTTAGGAGTCAGATGTGGATTTGAATCTAACAGCAGGGACTTTATCTATCTGATCAAGGTTATTGGTCACAGTGCCTGCTATTTTAATTAATTGTTGTTGAGTTATTCATCTTCACTGTTTGTTCTAAGAGTTTAGGGAAGCCATCTTACTTCTGTGAACCTGTATTTTCTCAGCTGCTAATTGATAATCATCAAGCATAGCTCTCAGGATGGTCTCATATAAACCTTACCTGTTTCACTCCTTAGAGTCACCTACGATTTTTGGCCATGCTGTGCCTAGGTGCTGATGGGAAAAAAGGTCAATTTATCTCTAGGTTTGGCTTGTTGCAGGCCCACTCACCTTTGAAGAGTTAGAATAACTCAGGTTTCATCCTTTCCCATCTTCCTTTTCTGAGTCCTTGCTTTTTACTTAGAACATTAGCAGTAGCCACCTGACTTTTCTCCTCCTCTGTCAGTATCTTTCCAAACCATTGTGCAGATGATTGCATAAACAGCCTTCACTCCTGCTAAGGTTCCCCAAGGCTCCTCACTGCCTGCCAGACTCCTGGAGGGGCCCACATGCTGTCTCATCATCGTTCATCCTCCCCACTTTGTTCTCTCCTCTGTTCATCCCATTGTGCAGCAAATGCTGTTCCCCAGATATACTCTATTCCACTTCCAGGCATTTGTATGCCTCAGCTTTGCACCTGTAACTTCCTACTTGCCTCTCAGTCTGCCCTGTCCATCTTCCAAGGCTTGTTGAAGCCAACCACAAGTGTGATGTCCTTTATAAAGCCTGATTCTAAAAAGCATCCTCTGTCGCCTCCTTATATTCATATACAAGGTCTCCCTTTTCTGAAATTGTGAAACTTTCAGCTGGTTTGCTTCAAGGAATTAGTTTAGCTATCAGGTGTCACAGCCCTTTTCC